GAGAGAGAGAGAGAGAGAGAGAGAGAGAGAGAGTTCATGGCGATGAGTTAATCTCCCTTTGTTTGGTTGGTGACGACTGGTGTCAGCGACGAAACTACTTTGTTTGCAAATATGATGATATGCGTCGTCACGAGTATTGAAAGGATGAAGAATTGCTTCATTCTTTTCGTTATGCGTCCTCACTTTCTTGAATAACATTGAATATTTGTAGGGGGTGAAGAATCGCTACGTTGACATTGAAACTAAAGAGATTATCTTTTGTTTGTTATCAGGTTGTCGGTGTGATGAGAATTAAATTAAAAAATAAATCGAATTAACTTGCTTGCCATTGAGTTAGTGTGATGAAAATTAACTTGCAAGTATCACAGGTCCTTTGTACATGGACTATGAACAACAAATGAATTAAAATGCATTATTGTTGGTATAGAAGATTTTTACTAATTGCACAAGTTCTATTTCCTTGAAAATTATTATTCAACAATACTATATCAACAACGTTGTAAATAATTAAAAAAAAAATAATAAAAGTAAACAAATTTTCTTTCTTATCTATGTAGATTAATTTTAATCTCTGTTTAAAAAGATAAAGAAAATATTTTTAATTCTTAGAACTAAAACAAATATTGAAAAAATATAAAAAGTGAGATAAATTGAGATTGGATTAATGTGTGAGATAAATTGAGATTGGATTAATGTGATAAAGAATGAATTTCAACTGCTGCATTCTATTTATAAACGGATGACGGAACGTGTATAATCATTTCTTATGGTATGTGAAAAATATAAAAAAACCAGTATCCAGGATTCACACGTCAAGTGATTGCATGATTATAATGATTTTAATTTGTTTTCCTGGAAGGACATTTGATGAACATGTTCTTTCTCAGAAATCATAAGACATCTTCAAGATTAAAAGTGTGAAATATAGGATCTTTCCAATGCAATATTCTCTACAATATTATGAATTGATGTAAATAATTGATATAATTTACCTGTTGTTTAAAAAAAGTGAGAATGTCGAGATTGAAAGAAACTTTTAATTGAAACCAATCGAAAATGCATAATTATTCTCGTGTGTCGTTTTATTGAAAATTGATTTTAAACGAAACACTCTAAGAGAGTGGATAAGATAATATTCTGTTTTATTTGCGATTAAACATCCAATATGTGAATGTATCCTATTAATGCATGTCAAGGTACATATATTTCTGCGCGTGTATTTGAAGGCAATGATAAACTGTGATAATAATGTTCTGGGTTATCAGGCCAAGTTATATTCAGGAAGAAACATGGAAAATCTTACTGCGCAATAGATTTCTGTTTTAGGCACATAAATCTTATGCTGTCATATTACAAAATATAATTTTTATAATGATATAATAGAGAGATCAAGATCTACTATATTAATTAATAATAATTATAATTATGTGTAATTATGATGATATGTTTTATTTGTCACATGAATAACTCTATTATTATTATCGTCGCAGGAGGAGCCGCCTTACAAGGTGTACAAGTTCACGTACGATTTGAGTCCGATATGCGGAACTGAGTCATGTCCTAGGGAGGCCTGCACTATCGATCTGAAGCAAGACGAGCACGGCGACATAGAAACATTGAATGATTCCATTCAGTGCATGTACTTTTATCCAGCCGATGCGCAGAATGACATGTCGCAGGAGCAGCAGAGCTATCAGGAGCAGGAGGACTCTCAGGTCACTCAGGAAAATTTGGCCGAACAGGTGAAGGGCAATCGAAGCGTCGAATTGGACCACGAAATTCAAGAGACTGGCGATGACAACATCAGACCGTTTATTGCCATGCGCGCCTCCGGCAACAATTATTGTCCAGGTTGCCCGTACGAGTTGAATCCGAATCTACCGGGTCTTCTTACTTTTGGCGAGCAAGCATTGAGATCGATGGACGAGCAGACGGCAGGCGATTACAAGCATAAATTGATGAGCATCGTGAGGGTTATCCGTTCGGTACCAGTCTCGTCTAATGTAATACAATATCAATTATTGCTGCTAATAGGCGAGTCCGAATGTCTGAAGAATGCTTTGGAGCAGGAGCAGGAATGTCCATTGAGAACTACTATTCCGACTCGGTTATGCCTGGTCACCTTCGAACAACAACCATGGCACCAGGCGTCTCTCAGAGTGACTAAGAACAACTGTACCGATCCTGAAAACACGTCCAGCGTTAGCAATCAATCCCAGACATCAAATTTGGAAAGCGAATCTTTGGTGACAGTTAAGTATGACGAAGGACAACCATCCCGTACCGAAATGACCGATGTCTATGAAAGTTTTAAGGAAATATTGGATAATTATACCCATGCTCCTTCGACACCGTCGAAGGAGCCTGAGGAAACTGAGGTAACAGAATCCGCTATCGTAAAAGTAGTGTTGAACAAGAGTCAGGACAACGATAAAGAAGAGATTTTAGGCTTTACGGACAAGACGAAAGAGTTCAGAGAATTTTTGGAAGATTTCGATCTGCCTGTCAAAATAGAGGACGCTATACCCAATACAGGTTCTACAACCAGGAAGGAAGTTAAGGAGGAGAAGTTTCAACGAAAGAAGATTTCCATGGATGATTTCAAAACGAATAGTAGAGATGTTGTTAATAGAAGAAAACGGTCGACGCGTTTAGTCGGAGCTGCCGAGCCGATATCTATAAACCATCCCGACATTCAACTTTATGCTGAGAAAGCGCTGCGCAAAGTTTCTACGGAATCGAACGATCCGAATGAGCCGTTTTTAGTAGAAATTACCGAGGCGAGTGTCCAGGTGGTTGCCGGTAGCCTCTATAGGATCAAGGTCAAGTTGGGTACCAGCGATTGTCCGAAGGGCACCAAGGACAATTGCAAATTGTTGACGGGAAGCGAAGTAAAGGAATGTACGATAAAGGTGTGGTCACGACCGTGGCTCGATCAGGGATCACCTGAAATAACGGTGGAATGTCCCTCGACACAAAACAAAAGAAAGAAACGGTCTTTACGCGGCGTTAATTACAATACAAAGATGTTACAAATCGCTGAGGACATCAAGACCGAGCGGTTGTTCGATCACTTCGTGACGACTTATAATCGGACGTATTCTACGCCGGAAGAGAGGAATCTGCGTCTCCAGATATTCCGCGAGAATCTCGGTATTATAGACATGCTGCGGAAGACCGAGCAGGGAACCGGTATTTATGGTATCAACATATTCGCCGATATATCGCGCAAGGAATTCCGAACGCATTATCTCGGTTTACGACCGGACCTGCGATCCGAAAATGAGATCCCTCTGCAAAAAGCTGAGATCCCAGACATTGAGATACCAGCCAGTTTCGACTGGCGACAGAAGGGCGTCGTGACTCCGGTGAAGAATCAAGGTGCATGCGGTTCATGCTGGGCGTTCTCAGTCACGGGCAACGTTGAGGGCCAATACGCGATTAAGCACGGCCAACTGCTATCTCTGTCCGAGCAGGAACTGGTGGATTGCGATGATCTCGACGACGGCTGCGGCGGCGGTCTACCGGATAATGCGTACAGAGCCATCGAGAAGTTAGGCGGTCTCGAGTTAGAATCGGATTATCCGTACGATGCGGAGAACGAGAAGTGTCATTTTAAGAAGAGCCTGGCCAAAGTACAATTGACCTCCGCTGTCAACATTACATCCAACGAAACACAAATGGCGCAGTGGTTGGTGCACAACGGTCCAATATCCATCGGCATTAATGCTAACGCCATGCAATTCTATATTGGTGGTGTCTCGCATCCTTTTAAATTTCTGTGCAATCCTGCGAACCTGGATCACGGTGTGTTAATCATAGGATACGGAACCAGCAGTATGTATTATGCTAAAATAGTTTTTAACGCGCGATTGAGAAGCATTGGAAAAACAAAGCAGGATTGATTATTGTTGTATTTTCCTTTTCTTTTCTGAAAATGTAAAAGAAGATTAATTTTAACATTTTTGATAATTATAATTTTATATTGTTTTATCTATAATAAGTATGTACAGACTCTCTTGAAATCCTACAACACTTGAAACATTTTTTTTAATAGAATTCAGAAGATAATTACATAGGAAAATTATAATGGGTCACTCTATATTTAATCAAAGATAATTAGTATAATAATTCTGTCAAGAATCAAATATTTTTATAAAAAAAATATATATTTTTTAAATTATATCTCTATGAAAATATGTATATTTATGATATTAATTATGAGATAATAATGATGATAATCATCTAATATTTTTTTTTCAGCGTATCCACTTTTCCACAAAAAACTACCATATTGGATCGTCAAAAATAGTTGGGGAAAATCTTGGGGCGAACAGGGGTACTACAGAGTTTACCGCGGAGATGGTACTTGCGGGCTTAATATGATGGCCTCGAGTGCTATTGTTCTTTAATACTGAATATACGTAAATAAGTTTTTCATGACAATTAACTTATAATCGTTCCAAAGTGTTATACATATATATATATATATATATATATATATAGATATATATAGATATTCTTTTCTACTAATTAATGTCGATTTTAAAACTGAATCCAATTGCTTGCCAAATATTTGACAAATGTGACTTGACCCCATTGTTGATACACTATGTATTATAATTTCCATCCGATATGATGTGCAACTATCTGGCAAACATATGGATCGTTGGAAGTTAGATATTATATGTTGTGCGATTTGTGCTAAGTTTAATTCTCTGGGATAAAAAACGATTACATCGTTTACGACAATCTTATTCGTTTGTTGAAAAGTTCAAAATTAATAAATTATATAATAATTCGCGAATGTTTTACAAATCCATTTTATAAAAAAAATATATATATATAGATAATATATAAATATTTAAAGTATTTATGTTGAAAATATGCAACGATGTTGAAACTACAGCAAGAAAAGATATTAAATGTTCTATGAATTTCGTTTTAATCGCACGTACATAAAAATCAGCGAACATAAAAAAAGTAAAAGCGTAAAAAAATCTTTTTGTATTTTATAATTTTTAAATTTGTTACAACCAGAATTTTTTTTAAAGATTTACAACGAATTTTTAACTTTGCATAAATCCGGGGAAGAATAGTTTTATATTCTATTTGTTAACTCGGATAAAGAGCGAAAAAAATCATTCATAAGAAAGTAAATGAAACGAGGAAATAAGTAATTCAATTTTTATTGAATGCAATAAAGGTGACTATGCGAAACCATGTCAATTTAATATACCTGAAATCTTTAATACGGTCGAGTATGTTCGAAACTTAAATTAGTGTCATTAAAACATCTTTAATAATGATGCGTGTACGAAAATATTGAGAAATATAACTGTGTAGAATAATTTTATAAAATTTTGTTTTTGTTTTATTTATGCAAGAAAGAAACAAAGCTATTTGGTTTCACAAAGTTTCTAATTTTAATTATGTAAGTTGTATATTGATATACATTTGATTGAAATTATAAAATTATGAAATTATGGAAAGTATTTTTGAAAATAATTGAATCTTTAACTGAATCGTGTCGCATGATTAATGTCGAGATGTAATCGATGTCTTTGTCGAAATAATCTCCAATAAAAAAACTACAAGTTTAAAGTATACCTTCTTTAACATTGATTAATAAAAAATTTCTCTTCTGAAAACACAGCTTATTTGAAAAACCAACTTTACGAAAAATTTAATATAGTATAGAAGATTAGAATTATAACGATCACAATTTCTTTAAGAAAGTAAGTAGCGATATCGATGATTTATACAAATTTGGAAGTGTATATGGTAATGTACTCAACATGTTACAGCATGTTATAAGATACGGCAAGAATTTTTTAGATTTTACACAACTTTGTTGATATGACAGTTGTTTCAAAATTTATAATTTATTAAGAGTCATGTAGACGTAAACTGCGAATCTTCACATTTAATGCTATAAAGATACAGCACTTCGAAGTTACATGAACACACAAAAAAGATTCTAGAGAAACTGTAGACCAATAACAAGAATTTATTTTTTATCTTCTTATAAAAGAATTTAATATTTTCATTTAGCATCTTTCTATATTTTTCTTGATATAAAATGTTATACAAACGACTTGAAATGTTTCTAAAAATTGTGGAGATTATTATCTAAGATTAACAATGAGCAATCATTAATCGTTAAATTAATTTTGAATGCAATAAAATAATATAAATATGCCAGAAATAAAATTCTGTTAATGGTATACAGTTTATTCACAATACATACAGTAAATATTCGTGCAAGATGTCAATTATTGATATACATATATGTATAGAGAGATGCTCGGCATATAAGCTCTCACATGTCAGAGAGAATGATACCAAGGTACTTAAACAATAATTCCTTCTTCTTGACTTCGAAATTGGTAGAATAAAACGCTAAAAAATGTACAGTAGACACACTTAACAGTATGATAGTTCTTAGGGACGATTACGTGATTGGTATTAGTAATAATTATAAGATCCCCATTGATTGTAAGGTCCGTAAGTTTGTGGTCCGCCTTGACCGTATTGCCAATTTTGATAGTTGGCATAATTGGGATCTGACGGAGGTGGATACTGCGGGTAACTTTGTTGATAACTGCCTTGACCACCATATTGTCCACCTTGGAACTGCTGTTGCGACTGATACGGCCCGCTCGGACCGCTGCTGTATTGATACGAAGACTGTGAGCCCACGGATGGTGGAGGTGGCACATTTGATTGATCAGTTTTCTTCTTCGGAGGCGAAGAATCGCTGCAACATATCGATTATAATTAAAAATTAATTATATTAATTTCTATTAATTAAACAGAATTTATAGTTTAATATTAATATTTTGTTCTATACATTAATCAATGCATTCGTTTGTTCTATTAAATTACATTAATTATGCTCAATTGCATAGACGATGATTGAATTATTAATCAAAATCTTATGATATAAATTATATTTTGAGTGTAATTAATTCTTAATCTAATTAATCTTTTCTATAAATACGTTTTATTGTCGTCACTCTTCGTCTTCTTCCTCTCTTTCGCTTGTTTGATGCATTTCTGAAACTGTTCGTGAGCTTTTAACACTTGTCGGATATCGGGGCTGAAATCTTCCAGGAATTCGACTTTGCGTTGCGCAAAGAGTACTCTCTGCTCAAGATCCGCATGTTCTCTTTCTATAAACATATCCATGTAACCTACTATTTCTTGAGTGTCAACTGGTGTTCGTTGCATTGCCAAATCAATTAATTGCAGATATAATCTGGGATTATCCTTATCTTTATCTGTGGCCTGCAAAAAAAGTAACATATGTATTAATCTTATTAAATAAATATCAACATAATTAGTGGAGAAAAATCAATGTTGCATTTGAATGTACCTTCATCAACACTTTAATCGCCTTATCCACGTCATTCTTAACTTTACACAAGAATCTGGCATATTTCACAGCAATATTATTGGCGATTGTCCTGTTCTTACTATTACTAATATAATTTTCGTACAAGGTACACGCTTTCTCTAAATCTCCACGACGACGCTCCAAATTTATTCGTCGATACGCCACTTGTAGCATATTCGGTAATACATTATCAATATTTTCTAATATAGTAGCGGCTTTCTCGAAGTTATCTTGACCCTCCTCGAATATAGCCCATTGTAAATGCAAGTTTGGCTTCTTTGGATGATGAACCATACAAGCTCTCGAATATACGTCTCGGATCTTTTCAGTGTTATCTCCCTTCAGCGATTCCAAATAGCGCACAAACTGCACAAATGAAAAAATAAAAACCGCTTATACAATAATTCTTAATTATATATCGATATATTTTTTCAAGGATATAATATTTATTTATATTTATAATTTTTAATATAAAATAATATTGTTAGATATTTTTAATGTCAGTTTAAAATTTCATTTAAAATAAAACATAATATACATATGATAAATATATATTTAAACTAGTAACACAAAAAATATATATTACAGAGATTTATATTTATACTTACTCGCATCCAAAACTCATCATAAAGTGCACAAGCTATAAGACATCTCTCGAATAAGATGATTATTCGATTCTGATCCTTTTGCTCGATCTCGAAGTCTAGGTACTCCTTCCAGTTTTTCAATTGGCATCGTTCCAATGGTTTTACATGGAAGTATGGTCTCTTTATCTGTGTTAATCATACATCATGATTAAATTGTAAACAATTTACTGTAGATTAATTTGAATAAATTAATTTAAATCTTATTTCTTTAAATGTGAAATTAATCAATAAATCCAAATCTTTTAATTTGGAATACACTTTTTTTACTTACAACATAAAAGATTGTAAAAGATTGACTTCTGTACTACAATGAATCCACATTTACTGCGCGAATAGGTAGTTCTAGAGCTACGATGAGGGATCGACATGAGTGTTTTTTCTCATTTACAGCATTTACATCTTCCAATATGATAAAATTAAGAAGTGTCATTTTGCTAATAACTACTTAAAGCGTGTAATGAATATATAAATATAATCGAATGTACCCCTTCTTCGTATGACCATCTCGCTGCCACCGCATTGACGTTCGCTTTGTGCATTTTGCGCCTACTGCTGATGATTTTCTCACGGATGGCACGTGTTTCCTCGTCAGTAGGTGGTATTTCGTGGGGTGGCGGTTCCTCGCCGGGTGGTGCGTCATCAGCGGCAGACGTTGCGGTGGTATCATCCGACTTAAGAAGGGCCTTTACTTCGGCGCGTAGTGCGAGAAAATCGTCCACACTTAGAATACGATTCGGCAAATTGGACGACACGAATTCCTGGAAGGCTTCGAAGTGGGAAATATAGCCAAGAGTAGGTGTCGACAGTAAACGATCGTAGAGTGCTGTCACTTTGCTCAAACGTTTCCCTTCTAATTCCCACTTTATGTAACTCTCCCAGAGACGATCCGATCTATTTATATATTAAATTGTTATATTATTCGTTTATTCCTCTTTAGTTGTTTTTTTTCTCAAAGTAAGAATTTATTATGTTATGTAACAGCTAAAAAATATTAAAGAAATAAATGTACTACTTTTAATGGACAAAGGAAAAATATAAACATAAAAATCTGAACATGCACTATCTCTTCTTTTAAATTAAAATAGTAAAAATAGTAAATAAACTTTTAAGATTTTATTATTATTATAATACCAAAGAAATGTAAACTATATAATATTTGTTCTATTGCTTTTAATTGAAATGGAAGAGATAATACTTAGACTTTTGATAATGTAGATTTAAAAAAATTTATTTAAAATCATATATATTTAGTTTCATTACCTGAATTCAAGCCCGCAAGCTTGTATGGCTCGCTCATACTGCTCCCGGAGGGTTTCTTCATCTTTCTCATAGACGGTTTTACAGTGGTTGATGTAATGGAGCCAGAGGTCGACACTTAACGAAATAGCTTTCAGACCTTGGTCGAACACCTGCGGTAACGGATTCGTGGATCGTATTTAGAACAGTTTACAACTGAGTTGGACTTATCGGCGGGTAGATCTTATACCTATTTTGCTTTTAGCTTTCGTTAAGCATTACGGTCTTTTTAGCAACGTATACTCACATATCGTACGCGTACTGTAAATAAAGAGATTTAATTAACACAGAGATTGCAGAGCATTGTGCATTCACCTTAAAAGTCAGGGAGTGTTCCGATCTGGGCGCCACAGTGTCTTCCGCCACTCTTTCTTGCTCCCACTCTGGCACGTGCACGTGTCCTAAGTCTTTGTTTCTGACTTTGACTTAACACCCGACATATCTTACTTACATAAAGTAAGAGTAGCGCATATATCTTATGCTTAAGTTTTACAATACTTTCTGTAGTAAGCTATGTGTATACAAATGCTTACAGTAAATATAACACAATTTTCTTTCTTTCTATCGCGATAAAAGGCGCTTCGGAAACTAACCATCTCGCTCGACTTATGTACGATAAAGTACTTGATGTATTCGATATATCGGTAAAATAGTAAAATATGTAATATAGCATTTTGTAAGTATCGCAGGATAATTAAATAAGTAACTATTTTGTAAACGAAGAAAGTCGAATAGGTGCCGCAAGACGTGCTATGCTGTTGGAAGGGAAAACCATATTTATGTGCGTGCACACTGCCCACGCGTCTTCCTAACTCGAGCTATTTTCATTAGATTGCGTTAATTATAATGATATCATATAATGAGAGATAACCTAACAAACGTAATATACGATCGGACTCACCGTTTGGACATTTTCGGGGTTGCCCTTCTTCTTCTCGTAATCGGCAAATTTTCTCCAGTAACCGTAGCAATATGGATAACGCTCCAAGAATTTCGTATAAGCTTCGCGCGCGGCCTCCGCATCATTCTATAAAAATGACAAAAATTAATTTTAATTTCAATTCATTTATAAAATGTTTGCATATTTCACACGATATTCTCCAATATTTCTATAGCCACCTTCAAATATATATACTTTTTAAAATAAAATATTAAGGATAATTAAAAATGATTAATTAATGAATAATAAATTTCAAAGCAAAATAAAATTATTAATTTTTACTTACTTCTTGATCCACATATTGTAAAAGATATGTCCATCCTGTGAAGTCAGATGGATCTTCGTTAACGGCTTTCCAATATTTCTCTAGTTCGGGCAATGTTTTCTTTTTTGGCGATGCTGGTTTGATTTCTTGTTTATCTCCTGCATCTGCTTCGCTTGACAAAGCAACTTTTTTTGCTGGTGCTTCGTCATTGTTTTCAGATGTCGGAGAACTGGGATCGTATTCTCCTTCCGCATTCAATTTACGTTTGGCTAAAAGTATAAGGAATATATAACAGAACCAGTTCTGAACTATTTTCAATTTTTATGGAGCACTAAAAAATATACTTACTTCCACCTTCTGTTTTGATTTTTTTGTCCGTCACTTTGCCCATCAATTTTGCTGCGCTCTTTTTCTTTTTTTCACTGTCCGGTGGTAATTCATCTTCGGACACAGACTCTGTCTCGCCCAAATCTGCTGGAGCAGCAACTGGCAGTTCTTCGTCAGAAACTGCTTCAGTCTCTGGTTCCTGCACATTTAAAATTATTTATGTTATCAATATATAAATTAATTATCAAAAAAATTTAGAATGTCAATTATGTATATTGAAAACATAAATCTAATGCTCCTGACCTTGGCCGCGGCTTCAGTCGGTAATTCATCCTCTGACACAGCTTCTGTATCAGGCTCAATTTTCTTTGCGTCATCTTCATTTGTGTATTCCACTTCGTTTTCAGCCTCAGTTATTTCTATACGTGGCAAAGAATCACTCTGTGATACTTCCATATCGGGTTCTTCTACCTTGCCTATCACTGTCTCTGTAACTTCTGATATTTCTTGCTGTGAGTCATCGATTTCCATAATTTGGATCCCAGTATGCGCCGACATGTTCTCCGAATCTACTTCTTCCGCCTCTAGAATCTCTTGTGTCATTGTATTGCCATCTTCATTAATAACTTCTTGAAAATCTATCAGCACACGTTGTTGATTCGAGTCATCGTTACTCATGTCTTGATCTTCCATCTCGATGTCTCCACGTTCAGCCAGCATCTCTTCTTTGTCCATGCTACTTTCTTCTATAATTATGCCTTCTGATCTTATATTGGAATGCCGCTGAAATAAATCAAGTTTTATGTATAATAATTAATAAACTAGTAATTTTTTTATAGACTAAACACGCGCTATATGTTTATAGCATTATTCTTTTTTTTTTACTTTTGACGGTGCATCTCTGATTATCATTGATTTCTTAGTTACAATATTAGTTCAAAAATATCATGATTATATTTCACATGAATAAATTTTAAAACAGTTCTATAAATAGCAGAAAAATTGTTAGAAAGATCAAGATATAAAGCAATTTTTTTTAATCTCAAAGAATCATTTCTTGAAATATTACATTTTAATAATTGGAATTGTTATTACAAACAAAATAAAATATTAATTTTCTTAAAAATTTAATTTATAAAAAATCAGATATCAAAAAATCTTAATTAAACAAAAATTGAACAAAAATTATTATTTACCATATCTTCAACATCTTGCTCTATTTCTTCGCTTTGACTAATGCTTATTTCATGAATATTGGCATCTTCAGAATCCTCCAATTCCAAATGCAACATGGGAGTATCTTCCTCACTGCGTTGCTCCACAATAACGTCAGTTAATCGTTGAACTCCGTTCTCAGACATATTTTCAATCATACTTTCCTCTAATGTAGATGTAGTTTCCTCCTATAATTACAAATAGTTATATTATTAATTATTTTAATTCTACAAATACTTATTGCCATCAAAAAGTGTCAAGTCGCGCAATTACATTATTTTCTTATTTGCATTTGATTTTTTTATAAGAATATTACAACAAAGGTTACAAAAGCAAAATCTTTAATTTGATAAATTCATTTTGAATTATTATATAATCGATGTAACACATTATGCTGTGTCAGATTCTGAAATTGAAAATTAAGAATTGTGAACTGAAGATTAAAAATAAGATAATCAAAATAAATATAATTAAAATTAATTATATCATTAGTCAAATTTTAGCTTTTAATTTATAATTTGATATAGGCTTAACTTTATTATACATTAGGAATCTGTAATATAGCATTTTGTATCAATAATCAGGATACTTATTATACAATATTGATCATATTTGAAATGGATTTAAAATCAGAATTCAGTTGTTATTTTTAGATTTCTATTGTTTTTTGTAGGAAACTAATTCTGATAAAAATTTATTCTAAATCATTGAGCTCTATAGTATACTGTGAGTCTTCCCTATATTAAACTATAGAAAATCGCGGTCCAACGGAGAAAAGGACAGGCACTCTAAAACTGGAATCTTTATCTCTTTTCTACAGTGTACTTATTGGTTAATCTTACGGTAGGAGAATAACATTAACCAATCCAAGAATCTCTTGAAAGAGAGCAATACTAATTCGCACGTTGTCTTTTTTTAATAAGTGAGACATCTCCACTCCTTCAAGCTTACTCCAGTATACTATAGAGCTCAATGTTCTAAACAATATACAAATTAGGATTTACCATTAAAAAATATAAAATTGTAAAAAGAGCTATTAAGAATCTAGCATGGATAATGATGCATTGTTATATTTATTAAAATATGCATAAATAAAAAAAATAAACATCTTTTTAACGTTTTGGTTAGAATTTAAAATATTTTCAATAATAAAGTTTACAATCAATAAAATGTCAGCTGTTAATGTTTCATATTTCATTAATGTTTTAAATGAAAAACATTTTGAACAATTTAATAATATATCTTTGAAGATCACTGCAAATTTTCTATACTTTTTTAAACCATATAAAAATCTGAAAAATTCTCATATATTTGAAATCTTTAATAATAAATCTATAGTAACATTTTTTTTAAGTAGAGATACCAAATCCTTACCATCTATTAGTTATTCTTAAATTTACAATAAAAAAATCAATTATATCTTCAATCTCCAGTTTGTTGATAGATTAACCATGACAGAATTCAAGTGCATCATCAACTAAGCTTATTGAATTATTGGGATGATACATTGTAATAAACAAAAACAGTATAACATCACATAGCAAATAAACCATTTTCTCCATTATTATTTTCTATAAGTTAGTTATTGAAATAAATCAATAATATTGCATGATGTAGAGCAACCATTGGATGTATCAAAATGGAATAAACAGTATCATTTTACATCATTATTCTATAACAAAACATGTCTGATTAGCAGATTGTTTTTTTTAAATTGCAATTCTCTCTCTTATTATTTCAGGAGATACAAAATATTAAACTGACGTTTTGTTTTAGCTTCACTGCCAGATAAAGATCACATTAATCGGCAGCGACATTAATCTACAGCGTGAATACAACTGATTCAGGTCTTACCTCAACCTCTTCGATCTCATGGATCTTCTTCGGGAAACGTGTCGCCCGGGCGAGGAGTTTCTTCACAGGTGATTTCTTGGCTACCACCGCTGTTTTTCGTGCTCGGCCCGACCTGGTGCGTCTCACTGGAAAGATAAAGAAATATTTATAACATGCTCCGCGAATGCATGCGAGATGCCGCCTCGAAATGGCGGTCTCGTGGGTTGGGCGATCATGCCGGCGTACGTCTTTGATGCGAGCGATTTGATGCCTTGGCAACGACCTGGCGATCGATCAAAGATAATTGATACGGTGTCCGAAGCTTTTCATTTTACCTGGTTCGACCAGTGCGACCTCGGCCTCGTCACCGCTTGCTGAGGACATATCTCGTAATCTCGCCGCGATCTCCGGAACGTAAAGCGTAGAATCGTAGACAGAAAATGGCGATAGTCCAAAGACAGGGCTGCCAATTACAAAACGTACTCTCGTCAAAATCGGCGGCAATTATGTATGTATAGTACTCAACCTGCTCGTTTTCAAAATTACATGTCGATATAACAGAATCTGCCTTATCAATAATAGATATATAGCCATAAATTTGTTTAAATTATATCAAAAACAAAAAAGAAAAAGAGAATATTGTCACAGAAAAAAGACAAAAGATAAAAGAATATTCGCGTATTCTCTTTTTTTATTACAAAAATTTACATATATTAATTGAAAGAATATATTTGGTCGTTTTAGGAAAATATAAAAATATATATATATCATAATAAATAACATATATTTCGTTCTATATACATATACGTAAAATGAATATTTGATTAAATTGCGCAAACATATAGCTGTCGCCGTGGCTTCAGATATTATTGGATGATAAAGAGAATAATAAATCATAACTTTAATCTCTTGATATCTTCTGGTCGAAAGTCTATTCTTAGGGAAGCGATACGTCGTACTTCGGATGGCGTTAATCGCCACGCTATCGCGTCCGCGCCGCAGTAATCGGCCAATTCCTCTATTTTTTCTATGCTCAGGATAGTGGCGATCTGCGTTAAACGCGCGAATTTATCTCTCACTGACCACGATGTGGCAGCCGCTAAATAACTGGCTAACGATCTTATTTCCTTGTCTAGTATCAGACCTCCAGCCTAAAACATACAAATTCATTCTGTAGTCAAATAATATTTGAATTATTCATTCATTAAATAGAAATATTTGTTTAGAGAGAGAGGCGAAAGAAGAGAGAGAAGAACATTTATAGTATTACTACAGTAATACTATAAATTATAATCTAATTAATTAAAAAATTATTTATGATAACATAGTTTAAATTTAGTGTACGTACTCGATTAAAAGTTGATTTCAAGACCACTTTTTCTAAACGAGCCGTAACTTCCGCAGTCAGAAGTCCAATAAGTGCATCATAATTGGAAGTCGTCAGACTATCTTTAAATCCTCGAAGTAGACCTTCTAGATTCGTGATTAATGTTTGCACAAATGGTTCATCCGTTTCATATCTCAATAATTCGTCCTGTGTACGAATAATTCGTTATATATTTAGAGGTATACAAAATATATTTATTCTTGCAGAACATACTTCATTAATATGATGATCTATAGATAAAAACGTATCAAGCCACGGAGTGACTCTGGGTTTAACAGCGCTGACGCGTAACTGTTCTAGGCCACAATCAATAATACCCCGTAATATCAATATGACACTTTTCAAACTGGATAAACAGCTGTCAATTTTGCCTCTATCCTTTGTTTGCATATTGGGGAATGTTGTATCTATTTCTGTACTGAGACTTTTGCATAATGTTTCCACATATTCTGTGCTCACATCAGTATTATTTAGATATGCCTAATTAACAAATAAATGCAAATAATTACAGGCACATAATAATTATAATAACAGTAATAGACTTTCATCTTTCCATCTTTGTGATAAAAATAAGTGATAAAGATAAGTGTATTAATAATAATAGCATCAATAGCAATATTAATGAGTGATATAAATTTTAAAAATTATACCAAGAACATAAGACGAGCGTATTCTGTATCTGACGTCTGCAAACGTCCATGTTGTATGCTCGTTTGTAGAGCACTATATGCTTGTGCTAAATCTAGATAGCCTGCTGGATAACCTTGACGCAATCTGTTCCTCAATCTGTTCGCAAACTCGCCTTCCAAAATACCACAAGCCATATTGACAACAGCACAAACACCATCTATGCTCCAACTTGACATAGCGCGACTATAGAGAAATTTTATAATTTTTAATAACATATATAAAAAATATACAAATTATATAAAAGTCTAACAATATACCGTATGCACTTCTGCACTATGAAAAATACATCATCAACCATGCTGGAAGTTTGCTGATCTGGTTCTAAGGTATCTATGCCTAATGCCTTATTTACACTCTCCTCGAGAAAATATCTCTCTAATGCAAGATAGGCTCCAAGCAACTCTTGCATGCCATGTGCTAATTCAGAGTTATTCATAGTTGTTTCAAATTCATTAAGTAACTCTGTACGCTGTGCTTCATCTGTTGTACTGATTTCTATATCATTCTACAAAACAATAGTTAAATGATTATTAATTTATGTAACATTATGAAAATGATTGATAACTTTTTACCTTAATTCTTCTCTTTAGAAAACGTATATAAAGTTCCGCCCTCGAGTGCATTATAGTAATTTCTCCCAAAAGAAGATCAAGTTCTTTGGGATCGAGCCTTTCAGGACTTGGTTTCCGCAAATATTCATTTATCATTTGTACATTCTTAGATATGCATCTATGTTTCGTAAATACTGCAATAATCTTTTTGACTTGTCTATATTTACAGAATATACGAATATAATTTTTTTAAATGTATATGGAGAATCTAAAATATGACATACAATTTTTATACATATTATCTTTACCTATCACATTCCTTTTGTAAAATCGAAATTGTCATTAGAAGTCTACCAGGGCCGTAATAAGTCTCAATGATTGGTTGATGCACCTCTACAATACGTGCAATTCCTTCAAATAATAGAGTCATAGTATCAGCAAAAATAACAGCTGCTCTTTTATCATTGCTTTTAATCTCTAGGGCCGCTTGTAGATTCTTCTGTGCAGTCTCATGTAGCTAATAAAAAAAAAAAAAAAAAAAAAAATTAAATAATGTCATCTCTTCTTAACAAGAATTTAACAGATATAATTTTACATAATATTACATACTTTGGTACATAAATAACTACAAAATTTTTTTAGCCCTTCTAAATGCATCCCCAACAATGGAAATATCTTGAAAAATCTCTCAACGGATGCGAGATCTTCAGATTTTACAGCTTCATCAAATTTATGTGTAATAACAGCCCTAAGTTCCATTGCAGCTTGCTGCAAGGTAACCAAAGAACTGCTAATGCTAGTATGATCTCCTGATACATCTTCAGCTGTTCTTTCCAATAATTGCTGGTCCATTGCTAAATAACGATGAACATGAGCAGCACCTTGTTCATAATCTTCATTACGCAATGCAGTCGCCACTCCTTCGCTGCATAATTGCAAATCTAATATGTCATTTATTCTACTTTGACATTCACATACTCTGCTCTATAAAACAAAATTAGAAAATATAAACACTAAAGAAATTAAAAATGATAAAATTATATGTTTAAGAATTTAGGATATTTTAATATTTAATATTTGTAATTTAATATTTTAATTTAACAACTTACTCTTGCTAAATCCAATTGTCTTACTTTAGCACTAACATTCTCTGCTAATTCATTGGTACGAGCAATCATGTTGCAAAATTTCTCCCCTTCTGTTCGTATTACCATAACATTCGGCAATACTTTGCCAATATTTTGTAGTTTTGCTTCCACATGACATCGTCGAACAAGGATTGTATCCAGATTTTTTTTTATAGCGACCTAATATTACATTTATCTTTTGTTACATAAACAACAGAAATTTTTGTGTAACAACAATTGCAACATATATCTTCTCAACAATACTTTGTACATCAAATCTTAAGAAAATATTATAAATTCTATGAAATTTAATTTGCGCATAGAAATTTGTATAGTACATAAAATGTTAATTAAAAATTCAATTATATTCAAATTATATTCGAACCTCATCCTCAGACAACTTGTTCAATATTTGTTGCAAATTTTCCTCGTTTACCAATAGATCCATATTGTTAACACATTAACATTAATAAATTAGCGATTCGACGATTTTATTTATTTATCGCTGAGGCACTTTAGAGAGAAAGAGAGAGAGAGAGAGAGAGAGAGAGAGAGAGAAGAGAAGAGAGAGAGAGAGAGACATTCTCTACACGTCCATATTATTAGGAGCTTTCCAACAAGCCAACATAGACACAGTGTAACACAGTGTCGCTATACGTGCTTTTCTGTTACGACACAATACATTTCGACACAGTTATGAAACAGAGTTCTACATCATGGCTGCCAATTTTTAAACTTTTATGTTCCACGGTAGCACTGAATAGTGAAAAAGAATTCTGTCTTTTTCTGTTTTGAAATTAATCATTTATTTAAATGTCGGTCCACAATAAGTATTTAATCTTTAAGTCGTAAGAAATTGACCAATCATAGTCGATTATTCTTTTCATATTCGATTATAATTGGTCAATTTCTTAAAGCTTAATCACCTATTGTGGACCAACACTAAGGCATTCTGTAGACCTATTCTCTAACGACAATTTTATGAAATATTTTATATGATAAAAAATCTGCGCAACAATATAATGATACCGAATTATTCTTAAGAATTATAGAATAGGCTAGCTGGACTAAGAAGAAGAAGAAAAGGTTACCTCTTCGATTATTGCTGTGACTGCAAATATTTTAAAGGTTATGCTCGAGAATGAAGCAATCAAAACCTTCAACAAATTTCAGCTAGCGGTAACTATATCTAGAACTAAAAAATATTCTATCAAGCATTCAGCATTGTGTTTAATTATATGACACAGTGTCTTCTTGCTGGAAAGCTCCTATTATCGCGTTCAGCATCGTTTTAAGGTTAGTAGTAAAGAGTCGTCTATAATGGAAATAATATGCAGTAAGTCGTAAGCCTTAAGAAATTGATCAATCACAATCGAGTGTGAGGCGAATAATCAACTGTGATTGGCCAATTTCTTACGACTTCACCATATTATTTCTATTATAGACAGTTAAAACCGGTATCAGATTAGAGATTGAGATTAAAATTTAATCAATTAAAAAAAAATCCAATTTCAAGTTTAGTGAACTTTGTTTGAATTGGTTAAATTCCAATCTAATTTCAATGCCATTTTTAATCTGATACCGGCTTAATGCGGGAGTGTTTCGTTTGATCATGTTGCAATTGAACAGCCACTTATAACGACCAACGCCTGGAGCAAAAAATTTTCCACTGGAGCAACCAATCAAAAAATTTTATCTTAAATTAGTCAATCAGCAATGTGAGCAATGGACGCCACTACTCATCTCTGTCTCACATCACGTTTATTCCGCCATTATCAGAATTTGTCTATGCTCATCACGGTTCAAAAATAATCGACTGGATTGATTATGTTGCCTACATCTCGTTATTACGACTAAAATTTTTTACACGCTTTTTAGCAATAAAAGAATTATATAAGCAATAAGAAAATTAACCAATTATAGTCGATTATTCTTCGATCGTAAAAAATTTATTCAAGCAAAATATTTCTATCTATCTTATCTAAATATTTTTTATGGGAGATTTTTCAATTTATTGATTATAATATACTGCTATATTTAAAAAACAAGATATATCCGTATCTTATATATCTATGATAATATATCCACTGATTTCTATTATTATTATGATAACAAACATGAACAAATTTTATTTTTGACTGCAATAATTGGGGTTTTTGTTCACAGATTTGCTATTTAATATTCAGAGACAATTTTGTCATTATTGTCATTAGTGTAGTTCACAATAAAACAAATTTACAGAAATTGATAAATTTACAGAAATTTTTGCAATTGTGATATTCCATGAAGTAATATGAGATTCAGATGTATACACTTCTCGTCAATTTAATATAATATCATAAAATTTAATTATTGAATGATAATTTATTTTGTTACATTTTTTATTTCAAAGAATTCGATTAATCGAATAAAAATATTACACAAACATAATAAAAAACGATTCAGTTCAAACTCTACGAGAGATTTCATCATTCTAATATTCTAAATATATTTTTTATAACATCTACTTTTCATCTTTTTTATAAATTAAATAATATATATAACTTTTTTATTTTTTTATATTTTTGTCTTTATTCTTTAGTCGTTTATTATAATATTTTGAAAAATATTTTAAAAAAGAAAATCATTGATTTCATTGAAAAAGAATCATTTGATATTTTAATTATATTGAATATTAATTATATTAAAATTTAAGACCTAGATAAAAGAACTTCTATATTGAAACAATTCAAACATTTATAAATTCAAGATAAACACATATATAAAATATATTTTATTTTTATTATATTGTAAATAAAACATATTTATTATAAGTAAAACAGTTCGCATATTTTAATTTTTACGGTTAATTGGAATCTAGTTTATGGCAAATACTCGAATTATTTTTAATTGAAAAAATCAAAATGAAAGTTTGAAAGTTCTTAATGATAAAAAGACATAGATGTTATCTTTATGGATACATTAGTGGTTCATCGAAACCACTTTCTCTTCATGCGTCACATGTTCCAATAGCTTGCGTCATTCATGCACTATTATCTTATGAATGATTTTGTAGAATTACTTTACCACCTTAATACATTTTTCTGTGTTTTGCAATAGGTATAGTAATAGATATTGAAAATAGAATTTTTTTACATATAAATATGGAACATGGCATTTTTATTGTAAAAAATTTATATTAATAATTTATATTAATAAATTATATTGCATATATTACGATTCTAGACTTACAGATTTTGCAGTCAAAAATATATGTGACAGATATATTTTGACAAAATATACAAAGTTTATAAAATTTTACCGAGCTTCTTTCGATGTAACTCGCTAATAAAGTGGGTCAAAGACTCGACACGTTATGCATCTTGATGATATGCCATTAGATAAAAGATTTTAATGCTGCATACGTACATATAAGAAGATTACATTATACATCTTATAAGGAAACTTGAGGATTTTAAAATTTAAGATAAAATACTAATTTTATTTGCTAATTTTTATATTACTTTATTTATTTCATCAAGATTATGAATTTATTGCACTATTATCGATAAAAATTGAAAAGTTAACTCTGTGATACTCTAAATGTTATGGAATATTTCTTGGAGATTTTGGAGTGTTTTATTCCAACGCAAATCACAAATCAAACAAGCGAGTAAACGATTGTCGAAATGCTGGCAAAGTACAAGTTTTCGGATTATATTATATGTACTTAAAAGGCTGGAATGTATTCGAAATATGTGTGACAAGAGGCCCCTCCGTTCGATTCGGCCTCCATCCTCCGCTCGGCTGTATAAAAGCCAGCCACCGCTGATGGATCGCTTTAGTTTTTCACTCTTGCTTGCGACCTCATCAGCTGAAAAAGAGATCATTTCGTTTTCATATCTCTCGATTTTTACGTATCAAATATCGATTCATGATGAAGGGATATCTTCTAATTTTACTGGCTTCATTGATGACTCTGGTCGTTGCCAACGAGAAGTATACTAGGAAATATGACGATGTGGATGTGGATAAGATTCTCCAAAATAATCGTGTTCTTACTAATTACATTCGATGCTTGATGGACGAAGGACCTTGCACTGCTGATGGTCGTGAACTAAGAAGTAAGTAGGAAAAGAAAAATTAAAGAATTTAAAAATGTATTGCAAAAATAGATTGAAGATTAATGAGTTTATGATAAAAGTTATAATTAAAAAAATTATAACTAAAAGTTATCTATGATAATAATGATAATAATTTTAGTAAGTAATATTCTATTCATATTTTTTATTTTGAATAAAATTATCCAATTTTTGCTCGATATTATCTTTTCTAATTAGAAAATACTTTAATGAACCAAGCAAACCAAATGATTGTAACCATATAATTATAGCAGAGAATTCAACACATACTCTCTCCATTACATAATGTTCACTGTGAACTTTCTCGTGCATATTACATCCTGGCTTGCTCTTAAGTTTACATAACAGTAATATAAAGTATTTATGTTTATAAATAAATTTTACATTATAAAATTTACATACGAATTTCAAACTTTGTTACATTTATATTGTTAAATTATAAGAAATTATATTTACATAAACTCTTTATAAAAAAATTACTTATATAAACTCTTTCTTTATTCTACACAATATTTTAGAATGAAAATTATTATAACGTCAATGCAAAAATTAAATTATGTTTCATATAAAAAATTAAAGATGTAATGTAAATTTAATTATTCAATACCGTCGTTAATAATAAATGTTAATGTTTGATTGCAAAATTATATATGTAAGCGATATTAAAATTATACATACTTCTCTCTCCTCGTTTGTTCTGTGTGTTTAATATACTTAATATATTTAAATAACATATCATGTTCTATGAATATTAAATGCTTAATATATATTACAGTAAATTTTGATAAAACTATTTGTATGTAAATTTATATGTAAATTTGTATGCAAATTTATGTTTTACTTATATTAATAAATTCAAAACACAAATATTTAATTGCAAAGTTTTCATTTTTAGCTTCTAGTGATAATTTTATAAAAATGCTTTTATAAAAATATATCTTTGACATAAAATATTTATAGAATATATATTATTTTGTTTTTCAAATCTTAGCTAGTGAGTAGTAAATTTACTTGAAATAATAACATATACGTTTTATTCATAGAAACTTTGCCAGATGCTCTGTCGAGCGGCTGCAGCAAATGTAACGATAAACAAAAAGCTATGGCGGAAAAAGTGATAAATCATCTTAAAACGAAACGAACGAGGGATTGGGACCGTCTCATGACTAAATATGACCCGAACGGCGAATACAAAAGGCGCTATGAAAAATCATAATTTTTTTAAAGTACTTTAATACGAATGTTACACGAATTTTTTTTAATGCAAATGTTACACAAGAAAAGCAACAAAATCATTGTAAAAATATATATAACTTATAAGATATACATGTATATATATCTATACATGTATGATGTGTATATACATATATGCACAATATTGTAAAATGTTTGTCATTGAAGATGTGATCATATATGTGAACAAACACACAATGCGCATGGAATTCAGTCAACATATAAAAGTTTTAAAAGTTTCATCTTACTTGCTGAATATGCTGAATATTTTTGTAAACAAATATCAGTTATGCAATTTGTCATGTTGTCCATGTCATCATTTTTTCCAAATAAAAAGAAAACGTCATTACCAAACGTTGTTATTACCATTGAAAATATTTGCAAAGATATTTGGCAATAAGTGTACATATATTTGGCAATAAGTGTACATATAGTTATCAATTATACGAAATAGAATCGAAAAAAGATATATTCAAAGAATATTCTTTTCTTCAAGTAGACATAAAAGGTTTTTCATTCAACACGTCTCTTCTTAACTAATGATCCAAGCTGAAACATACATATATAAAGATGTATAAAATAATTTATATACAATACTTTTTAAAAAATAGAATATCATATATATATACAATTTTTATATTTTGATAAACGTACAAGATCTGAAATAGCCGGTAGATTATTGGTTTGATCAGTAACAGTTGGTTCTTGTTCGCGATTCTCTTTTTGCACAACTGTTTTTTTCATGTTTCTATGCTGCGGGAATGTAGGCATAAGTTTTGGATCGCAAGCTGTAATATATTAAATTAATCAAGTAAACAAACGGATTTCAAACGTTGTCGCTGCATCAGCAGGACAATTTAAAAAATTCAAATGCATTTATACTAACGTAAAGGAGCTTCTTTGAAGTAACTACTTTGTAAACATTCTTCAGCAGTTGCTCTTTTCTTTGGATCATACATAAATAAGAAATTCAATAATCTAAGACCAGCGGCGCTTAACCAGGGAAATCTTTGTTTCAAGTTATTATATGGTTGTTGTTTAAGCGTAAAATTTTGTAGTGCTGGCAATGAATTAAATTCTGGCCAAATAGCTTCACTTGGTGTACCCAGTAAATCGACAATTAACTCTAATTGTGCAATTTCTGATCTACCGGGTAGTAAAGGTCTATGTCCCAATAATTCACCTAATAATAAAATAAACAGTATTACTGTTTACGAATTATTGTAATAATGTTGGTATAATAATAAATTGACATAACTAATAAAATCTGTTAACAAGTTTAATATAATAATGTGAATTGTTATATATGGTGAATTGCTATATATAGTAAAAAATCCTGTTAAGCATTATAATCTTACCCAATATGCATCCAGCTGCCCACATATCAACTGAAGTGGTTTGCGTTTTGGCTTGTAACAACAATTCTGGTGCTCTATACCACAGCGTGACTACTCTAGGTGTCATTGGTTTCAAAGGTAAACCAAACCACCTAGCCAGTCCAAAATCAGCAATCTTTACACAACCTTTATCCGTCATCAGAAGATTAGAGACTTTTAAGTCTCTGTGAACAATAAAATTATGATGCAGATAACGAAGACCTTTCAACACTTGCAATACAATACATTTAACTTGGCTTTCTGAAAATGGTGCTTGCATGTTGTCCAGCAAGCTTGCTAAATCCTGTTCACAGTACTCCATTGCGAGAAATATGCTCTCTAGGCTTCTACCTACTACTACCTCTCTTAGATGTACAATGTTTTCATGTCGACATGATAATAAAACTGATATCTCTCTGAGACCACTTACTGGCAATCCATCCTTTTCATGCTCCATTCTTACTTTTTTTAATGCAACAACTTTATCGTTTTTTGTATCTCTGGCTCGATACACGATTCCATAGGTACCTTCTCCAATACGATTCAGTTTTTCAAACTCAGAGACAAACCTGCACTTGCCAAGCTATAAGAAAAATAAATAGATTGATATAGTATTTTTAAGAAAATTTGTACATTTATTATAAATAAAACATTATTCAATCTCTTACAACATCCTGTTCTGGTATTTCCATAGGTTTGCCAGTTAAGAAAGAAGTCAATACTCCTTTTCTCGTAATTGGTGCCGATGGATCAGGCCCTGAATCAGTCACTGCTTTCTTATCACTATCATTAGGTTCTACAGATAGCTTTTTTTCTAAATTTTCGTCTAAAAAAAAAACACAAGTTGTTTAAAACTTCTTTCAACTGTTTTAACATCTCATTATTTTTCAGTAATGAAATATTAACCAATGTATCTTATTAGTATTTCATTAATTTAAAAATTAAAATTTATATCTATCGTACCTTTTGTCATTTTGCTTGTTAAATTTGCTTGTTAAAGGAAAGTGGAGAATGATCAAGAGTCTAATTCTTGATGAGCGAAAACCGTAAAAATCGATGAAAACTAATATTTAGTAACGCCGGTAAAATAACACAGAGACATAATATGGAGACATCAAGGCTACCTTCCAAATTATTATTATTATTATTATTATTGTCTAACTCTAGTGAATTTAATTGACCAATCAGAAAATCGGGTAATCGGAATTGGCTGCGTCCAATTGAAACTATGCATCTAGGTGCATCATAGGTCCCTACAAGTAACATGGACAAAACCTATTGCGCATACGTGAAAGGAATAATTCTCTAGCACACTTAATCAGATCGCGCGCGCAATTGCACAGTGTCATTTACGATGGACCGTGTTATAAGATGAAATTGTCGGATGAAGTACATTCTTGTATAATTATACATATCCATTTATTTAAGAAAAAAACTGTATTTGTGAATTTTATATTATTATAATTTCTGTTTTATCTTTATTTTGTCTGATAAAATCTTTCTCATTCATCTTTCATAATGGCATTAATTGTTCCTACTTCAGCGGTTTCTGATTTAATAGAAGTTTCTTCAAGCACTAAAGATTTTAATACGAAAAATCACGATGAATCGAATATTTTCGAAAATATTCGGAAGTGCAATGGTGAAGAAGTAGTAACGCATAACCAGAAAGATGAAGAAAATAATAAAAAAAATGTTGAAGAAGATGAAAGAAATGTTGATGAAAATTTAAGAGACGTTACTTGTGACATTACATTATTAAATAGAGAGAATCAATGTTATGATCCACAAAAGTTAAAAAATAATGAAACTTCTAATATCTCAGTTAACAAATTTCATCCAAGTGATAAAGCTGATCTTAATGGATCTAATGAAAAGAATAAATTAAGAATTGATTATGAAAAATGTGACATAATGGATAATGGCAATGATACTGCTAAGAAAGTGTCAAAGAACATTTTAAATTTCATTGATAGTGATTCTGAGGAAGAAACTAGTTTGTATAAAACATTAAGTAAAAAATCTTGCATCGCTGATGATGAATCACTTGAACATTCTGAATCAACTGAACAATTACAGATTACAGAATATAAAAACAATTTGAAAAATAGAAGTCAAAGAAGAATAGTAGACAGTGAATCTGAAGAAGATATACAAACAAATGTTAATAGCAACTTTTCTCAAACAGATAATAATCCTGTAAGTACTGCTGTAAGTAGACATAATAAGTTTTATTATTATTTTATTTTATAATTATTTAGAGGAATATAGAGTTTATTCATTTTATTTTAAAATAACATGTAAAAAAATGTTTTAAGTATATTATTTTTATTATAGACTGGAAGCTATCGAGACTTAATAGATTCAGAATCTGAAGATGAAAAACAAAAGGAGGAAACAGAAAACAATTTCTTTAATACATCTAAAGAAATATGTGAAACTAAGGATGCTAAAAAAAAATCTGTTAAAAAGAGAAAGGTATTTAATATATATCTATAACATGTTATATTTATTTTAGTGATTCGCAAAATATTTACAATGGTAATAGAAATTTAAGGTGCATATTATTTTCAAAATAAAGTGAAAGTAATAATAAACTAAATGATTTTTTTTTATAGAAGAATAAGATTTTATGTATGTATAAAACTTAATATAGTATTAACACATTGAATTACTAAGACTTATTATTTAGAAACACTATAGACTTAAAGTTTTATTCTAAAATTAGACAACATTAACAATAGAAATTAATATAAAATAAATTTTTTTAAATTTAATATTAAATTTTTTATAATATAGGGTTCTATAAGAACTTCCAAAGATGAGGCAATGCGTCAGATATACAGCGAGACACAACGTTTGTTAAGAGAAACAGAAATTTCTTTACCTTATCATAGACCAAAACAGCGTACATTACAAGAATTCTTGAATAGAAAAAAAATATCAACTGCTCTCCCAAAGGCACCTTCAACAGCTGTAAAACTTAAGATGTCATCTGTGATAATAAGGTTTTAGACAATATAGATATATTAGATATACAGATTTATTTATATTTAAATACATTACATGAATTATATATATAAATAAATATATAAGTATAAAATATAAAGTTATATTTGCATTTTTAAATAGCAAGGTCGTTGCAGAAAAGGAAAAAGAAGCAGAATTTTTTTACAAATCCTCAGATTCAGAAGATGATACACAACAATCTATACTTGATGTTAGTAAGAATACAAAAAACTCTTTTACTACAAATAAAACAGAGGAAGTGTCTTCAACAGATATTAATTATAAATGTAGTCATAATCCTAAAAACATTGAAACAAATGTACAAAATTCTCATAACGAAAAAAAATTGAACTAAAAGATTGCTTAAATCTTGATGCATCTAAGTGTATGCCTGAAAAAGGGTTTTGCGATCATCAAAATGTAGAATTAATCCCCTTAACAAATAACAACTGTAATTTAAATGATGGATCAGATATATTGCTATTGCAGACAGCAAATAAACATAAGAAAAATTTTCAGAAACATAGTTTACCGAGAAAATTATTTGATACAGATATTGAAAGTGAAATAAATGATGTTTCTAAAATAAATCATGATAAACAAAGAATGACGAAAGAAATAATTGAAACTATTATTTCTTCTTTGAATGAGGAAAAATCCGTTGATGTCAATCAAAAAGAATCAGAAACTATGACAAATACTAAGGTAGATAATCATCAATTAGAAATATTAAATGTGGCTCAAAATGATTCTAAAAAAACTGATGGATGTAGAAATAAAACTTCATCTACAGAAGTAACAGAAATATTAGAAACACCTAATATAATTAATAAAGAAATAGCTGAAATACCTCAAAGATATAATGATGAATCAAATAGTATAATTACAAATTCTGATGATTATATTATAGTAGATGATGAAAATAATAAAAATGATAAACGATATTTTGAAACGAATGATATGTCATCATCTACTTTAATTAGTGATGCTCAATCGAATATTCAAGGTAATTCTTCAACAAACGAAAGCGAAAAATCTGATAGTCATGTACAAGGTTTGCCACTTCCAATATTTGAAGATGAGATTTCATCTAATAGAAAAAAATTACCAACATTAATATCCAATTCAAAAGTTACGTTAAAAGGATCGCCGGGTATGATTATTGATTTAACAGACGCAAAACCAAATGTAAACGGTGTAAATTCTTTATTAGATAGATTTTTTGGTAAACATCTTAACACAAAAAAACAGATTAATAATAAATCAGAAGTAACTGTAGTACATTTGCAAAATACTCAGAATGGTCCTCTTCCAATTAAAGAAGTATTTTCATACACGGCATCTATTAATACTGATAATTCTGAATTGAATAAGCCTGGAGCCAAATTATTACGTTTAAAAGAAAATTTAAAATTACAAATGACTTTAAAACGTAACAAAGAATGGAAACAAAAGGAATTAGAATTAGAAGCGCAAGAGAAAGAAGAATGGCATGAAGAAATCGAAAACGATTGCGATTTAAGTGAACAAGAAGAAAGTGAATTGAGTATTGAATCGAATGACAGTGAAGAAAGCGAACCTGAAGAGAATGATGTTTGCATTAAAGATAAGAAAAGGAGTAAATGCCTGTTTGCGGATGACGAAGCTGAGGTTACAGACAATGAAGATTCAAGTATAAGTATAGAAGAAGAAACATATATGAATGATAGTATAACTGAGTCTGATCACGAAGAAAATGAAGATGAAAAAAAAGAAAACGATGAAGAAAGTTTAGAGGCAAATATGAACAATGGAAATAAATCTAATTCTAAAGATAACAATGCTAATGTTCATAAAAGCTTTGACACTGCCAAAAATAATAAAACGAATCAATTAATTGAAGATTCTCAAGACGATTCAAATATTACAAATTTGAGTTATTTGCAGAATGATAATAATCAGCTGAATAATGAGACAGATACACCTAAAATAAATTGCGACGATAATGATTGGAGTGAGAGTGAAAGCAATATGCCCGCTTATCAACAACATGAAATTGCTACAAGAAGTCAAATATGTAAGACACCATTGACAAAAACAAGTATGCTCGATATGGTTTCTCCTATAACACAATTAAGTGTATTGAATGCTACCTTAGATTCCAATAAGAAAGATTCATCGGAAAAGAGAAAATGTCTAATTGATAAAGATGAGTCTGTTTTTCTGGAAAATACACAGAACGATGAGTTTTCTGAGCCCATATACAGAAATAAAAATGTTTTAAAAAAGAAATTGTTCGATGATATTGAGGAAGCTATCGATGATGAATATCTTATGCAATTGTGCTCAGGTAAATTTGAATCCACGCAACGAACCGATCTAGATTTATTCTCACAATCCAACACAACTATATTGCAATTACATCCAAGTAAATCTGAATTATGCTCTGGAAATTTTAATACAAAACTAGTTACACAATCAGAAAATCCAAAAATAAACAAAACGCCTCAAGATATGAAATCCGTGTCAGATGAAGATTCCAATAACTCTATAAATTATATGAGGGAAACAAATAAAGTTAAGGAGGTGGAATCAGAATTAAAACTAAGGATTGCTTCTTCAGATGATGAGAATGAAGAAGATACATTTTTAAAACCCAAAAAGCGTCCAACCAAAAGATTAACTTTGTCTGATTCAGAAGAGGAAAATGAATCATTATCTGATGAAGAAAACAACGATATAGATAACGAGGAGGTAGAAGAACAATATATAGACTACGATTCCGAGGAAAATGAAGTAGTTACTATACCGGCAAAGGATATAAAAAAGGTTGCTGCTGATTTTTTGGAAGAAGAAGCCGAGTTAAGTGGGAGCGATTGGGATTCTGCTGATGAAGATGAAAAGGATTTAGATAAATTAGAATTTGAAGAAGCTGATGATGAACACATAGACGAACACAAAGTGAAAGATCAATTAGAAAAGATTCATATGAAACAGATATTGGATGAAGATAAAAGGGAAGTTAGATTGCTTAAGGAATTATTGTTTGAGGATGGCGATTTACATACTGATGGAGCAGGACGGGAACGTAAATTCAAGTGGAGAAATATAGGTAAGAAGAATACGATTTTTTCTTCTATTTGTTGAATTATTGCAATTTATTAATATACCGTGATTGATCAAGAAATACTTTCTCTATCACACAGAATATTTTATAAAATTCAAATTTTTTAAATAGATTATTTGTATATTTTAATATGTATACACAATTTTATATCATTATCTTTTATTAGATAAACTGGGAAATAATATTGAATTGCCACAAGTCAATGAAAATGATGGCTGGGTAGATATGCAAGATGATGAGGAAGAAGTAAAGTGGAGTAAACTCAGACACGAAAGAGATAAATTTCTTGAGGAAAGAATGGTATAAAACCATTGCATGTAATAACAATCATAATATTTAAATTTATTAATTTTTTTTGTATTTTATGTATTTACAGAAATCTTCAAATAATGAAATTGAGGATGAGTTATGCGATAGTCAAATTTTCAAACTTGGACTGCAAGCAGTTAAAAAAATCAAGGATAATAAATCACAAAAACAAGATACTTCCCTTAACCAAATAGATTCTTCCGAGAATATGGAACCAATTATGCCACGGAATATAACAGATCTTTTAAATGGGCCAAAAAATATCGGAAAAAAATACCCAGACGATATATGTGAGATTATTAATTTACTATCAATAAAGCAATGTTTATGAGAAGATATAAGAGATATATATATATATATGTTACCATATTTTTTACAAGTGTGAATAAAAGTGTGAATTGTTTCATTCATGAACGATTATAACATACGATTATATATTTTATAGAATGTTATAAAAAAACGTTCACTCTTAAGTCGAGGAGAAGAGTCGTTAGCGAGGATGGCTTCTCTGGCAAAACAAAATGATTCTATTTCTCATACAGTAAATACAAGAAATTTTGTCTTCCAATATATTGATCAAAGTTTAGACGATTCATCTAAAAAAGAGGATAAATTAATAGAAAAAGAAGTGGATTTACAAAAAAAGGTAATTTTTTAAATCACTTGAAAAAGTGCATTAATAACATTTTTTCTGATTTTTGTATGCTTTCATTGAAAGAAATTTTGTTAAATATTTCCTTTTTGTAGCCTCGAAAAAGAAAAACAATGTCAGATATGTCATCGAAATCAAACAAAAGGCGAAAATAAAACTGTCCTTCATAGAAGAAAAATAATTTTATTTTATTTATGATATGTGTAAAGACTGTCGTTTTTATACAAACATGTAATATAAATTTAGATGTATAAATGATAATGACGAATTTATTTTCGTTAAACTATTTTTAAAAGTTTGTTACATGTGTAAAAATGTTAACAATGATGTATCCTCTAATCTCAATTAAATGCCTTATCTCTTATATATAAATAGCAAATATGTACAAATGACAATCACAATACAATAGGTAAGGAATGGTATTTGTTTGAAGAATTATATAACTTTCTTATTTGGACAAAAGAATTGCGCGTGTGTCTTTTTAATTTTGTTTTTAAAACTACTTGTCATATTATCTGTTTATCTGTTAGATAATCCATTTTCTATTCTTTATACACTTTTTAATTATATTTTTAAATCTGTATAATTACAATTATATAATCAATTTTTGTAAAACTTAAGATGAATGTGATAGAAATATAAAATATTCATTCACAAAAATATAGAAATTAAAACAAAAAGAAAAAGAAATTGAATGTCTTTTTATTCTTCAAATTTCACTCCTCTTCCTTTATTTTATATTCATTAAGATCTGGTCTATTATATTGTTATCTTTGGCTGTATGCGTGAGAAGTATATTTAACAATGCTTAAAGTATACAACGAGCATATAATGAATGAATATTAGACAATGATTGTTTTTTGTCGTGTTAAAAAACACGTAACATTTGACTTCACAATGTCAACTTGGTCGTTAGAAATTTGATTCTTTTTTGATAATATTATTTAATGTCGAAAGTTCGGGTTATCTGTTTGCCATCCTTTTGCGTTTGGTCCAAATTGATACACCAATCTTCGACCAAGTACTGGTAGAAATATTTTGCTTTTGTAATAATACCTAAAATTCCCATTTTGAAATAATAAATGTTCTTAAGTCATCTGTTAGCATATTGAAAATTTTATTATTATTGTTATTATTACCTCATAGCTCTACTAAGTTTTTCATAAGTCATTTTTGTATTTCCTTTTCGTGAGCCCCATCGTTTTGCTACTTCGTCGCTTTTTACAAAGCGAAATTTGGCTTGCGAATAATCTTCCCAACAGATTAAACTTGGACATGTTTCTCTATTACGTAATAAATCTCGAATAAATTCCCATAATTTTCCTTGACTGGCGGCTGTAAATGTAATTGAATCATGTAAATGGTGTTTAATAAATATATTTATTATTTCATACAATTGTCTCAATCAGTTTATTTATTGGTAAATATTTTTTAGTTTTACTTACGATTTTTCTTTGTTTTTAATACCCTTGGTCTACCAGGCAATCTCTTAGTTGCAATTTCGATGCTATTATCTGATTCTGCATCTAAAAAGATAAGAAAATTATTCAAAATTAAGAAAATTATAATTAAGTTTTCTTCTAAATGTATTTGTTTTCTTAATAATTTACCGGATATGTTGTTGGAACTGACTCGCGCATACTCGTCCTCCGACTGTGGTTGAAGGGTATCGAACGGTGGTACTATATAAAAAAAATCCAGTTCTCTTGCCACATTCGCTAATCATTTTGTATCGTATTTCATTTATTAAGTTTTGACTAACTGGCATCAAAATATCGAATAAAAATATCGAATGTATCGTAAAATTACAGAAAAAAAGTTAACTACATTTGACAAAAAATTTTAAATTCGAGATTTTAGGCAGCTCTCTAAACGTGTTATCTCTGTTGCGTCAGTGACGTGTTGTACGTACAAAGATTTGATGTGCGTTGTGAGTGAAGAAGATCATACAACCGACCCCCGTATACAGGATCGTGATGGATAAAGTCTTGTCGTGTAAAAGTAACGATCTCCTTCCCAGACACGGCGAGGCTGTGCTGAATAGAGTTGTAAGGTTGACCTATATACGATGCAGCTGACATAAGCCAATTTATTGTTTCCTCTTGACACCAGTTTCTGATAGGTTTGTCGGACCATCCGGTGCCATCGATCTCCTCTCTTTCAACATCTATCGAGAAGACATTAGAGATTAAATTCGCAGGCAATGTCGCCAATTTGCTGCTTACGTATTAAAATCGCATAAATATATTCCGAATGCGAAAATGTTGTTTTAGATCGATCAAACGATTAAATGCTAAAGTCAGTGCGGTTTCCCATAAATCGATGCAATACGTCAACGTTAAACAGTCCCGGGAAATCCCCACCAGCTATCGCTGCTCGGTAATCGCAGACCAGTAGCAAGACCTGAATGTAAAAGTTACAATAGGCAAGTGACGTGATAATACATTAACGTTATTGCTTTTTGCAGTGACGTTATAAGCTTGTTTTATGATATTCTATCTCCAATGTAACATTTTGCCTCGAAAAGTAATAATGAAATACGTAAAATACGTAAAAATACGTAAAAATACATAAAAATTTTGAAAAAAGGAATGTGAAAGAAATAATATTCGAATAAATCAAGATTAATCTTCTAATCCAAATTTAATTTCCTATTAAAAATTTCCTATTAAAAAAAAAGGCAACACTTGAAAATGACAAA